CGTTTTTTTTTTATATTAATCTTTCTTTGATCGCAGAGTTATCCGAAATGTATTTGTGTATATCTAAAAATATCGAATTTAGATATAAAAGACACCTGGGAGCCAGAAATCTTGCTGATTGATAGGGGATCAAATACTTATTTTACTCATTGACATGCAAATCACTTTATAACTCTTTAGACATGCGTTTTCCTGGATTTTTGTTGTTGTTATTCTGTCTCTCACTGTTAAAATACACCTACCATTAAAAGTATAGACTGATCATTTCTTTTTTTGTAAATATGTTTTTATTGAATATTTTTCAACACATAGTATTTCAACGTGGACGCGCAGGTCCCCTTGTTTACTTGTAATCGCAAATACACAGGTAAGGTACAATCCTTTAGGTATGCGGTAGCGACTCGCAGGTTGCATTATGAGATGTATAACGTGCACAATGGACACAATCGCAGGTCCGGTGGTACATAGGCGTATAGAAGCAGTACTCTTTTACGTCTGATGGGTACCATGTTTACATTGGGTTGGGTTTTAGATCCCGAAGTTTCACTTCTGTACCTTCCTTTTCCCTTTTCCAGCACCCACCTCAGGACCGTTAAGCATTAGTGAGACTTGCAGGTCTCCATTTGTTCAGGGTCTCCTCTAGACACGCAGGTCCCCGGTGGTATCATGCCTAGTGTCCTATATAACGGTGCAATGAGGTGTTGCCTCCCCACTATGATTTTATCAGAATCTGCTTTGCGCTACGTACAGTGTTGATGACGATAACATAGGGAACGTCCTGCAATCCTATATTAACTAATAAACTTCGTAGCAGGCTAAACTGATGGGTTTCTGCCCCATTTGCTGTGGCGTTTAGGTTCCTGTCCGCCGACCGGGCCATCTCCCCGGTCAGGGGGAAGAACTGGGGATTTGCAGCAACCTGCGTGTTCAGGAGGGTATCCGCCTGTCCCCACACAGATAATGTGAGTGCATGTGGCCATAAGCGATTTTAGGTGTTGCAGGCGACTACACCCTGACGGGTATAGTGGTGTAACCTCAGCAATCTGGCTGGGCATGCGCTCTGCCTCTTGTGCACCATGGTATGCCCCCGTGGGGTCAGTTTCCGGGCCATGCCCCGGGCTCCAGGGCACACGATCCGCACAGGACCTGTCGGGGGGGGGTAAGAGGGCGGAGTGGGGCGGTGCGGTGGGGTGCCGTACACTGGAAGCGGGTATGGGTCGTCCAGTTAGTCTCCCTGTGTCCCCTGCTGGGGGTTGACAGTCCCTCCCCCCATGGTCAGATACGTGGTCCGAAACGCCGTTGTGCCCACCATGTGTCTATGTGCGTCTGTTCTCGGTCTTGGGCCGTGTACCAGAGCTCCTCTGTAACTCGCAGCTCCTCCATTTTGGTAAACCAGAGGGAAAGCGTTGGGATTGTGTCCTTTTTCCAGTACAGGGGTATTAGGTGTTTTGCAACATTCAGGATTCGAATGGTCAGGGAGCGTTTGTATCGTGGTGTAGGGGTTGTCGTGTGGGGCAGGAGGTAGGGGGCTGGCTTAAAGGGTTGTGTGTTGTCTGTGAACAGGGCCACTATGGAGGCTATTTTCCCCCAGAACGGTTCTATGAGTGGGCATTCCCACCATATGTGGAGGAAGGATCCCACCCCTCCCCCGCACCTCCAGCAGAGGCCATTCGTGTCTATGTGCATTCTCTGTAGGCGTTCCGGTGTCAGTTACCATTGCGTGAGAACCTTATAGGCCGTTTCCTGGGTTTTACTAGCAATCGCGCAATGGTGCACCAGATCACAGATGAGTGCATGTGGCCATAAGCGATTTTAGGTGTTGCAGGCGACTACACCCTGACGGGTATAGTGGTGTAACCTCAGCAATCTGGCTGGGCATGCGCTCTGCCTCTTGTGCACCATGGTATGCCCCCGTGGGGTCAGTTTCCGGGCCATGCCCCGGGCTCCAGGGCACACGATCCGCACAGGACCTGTCGGGGGGGGTAAGAGGGCGGAGTGGGGCGGTGCGGTGGGGTGCCGTACACTGGAAGCGGGTATGGGTCGTCCAGTTAGTCTCCCTGTGTCCCCTGCTGGGGGTTGACAGTCCCTCCCCCCATGGTCAGATACGTGGTCCGAAACGCCGTTGTGCCCACCATGTGTCTATGTGCGTCTGTTCTCGGTCTTGGGCCGTGTACCAGAGCTCCTCTGTAACTCGCAGCTCCTCCATTTTGGTAAACCAGAGGGAAAGCGTTGGGATTGTGTCCTTTTTCCAGTACAGGGGTATTAGGTGTTTTGCAACATTCAGGATTCGAATGGTCAGGGAGCGTTTGTATCGTGGTGTAGGGGTTGTCGTGTGGGGCAGGAGGTAGGGGGCTGGCTTAAAGGGTTGTGTGTTGTCTGTGAACAGGGCCACTATGGAGGCTATTTTCCCCCAGAACGGTTCTATGAGTGGGCATTCCCACCATATGTGGAGGAAGGATCCCACCCCTCCCCCGCACCTCCAGCAGAGGCCATTCGTGTCTATGTGCATTCTCTGTAGGCGTTCCGGTGTCAGTTACCATTGCGTGAGAACCTTATAGGCCGTTTCCTGGGTTTTACTAGCAATCGCGCAATGGTGCACCAGATCACAGATCTTGTGCTACTGGTTCTCGGTGAGTGTTTCCCCTATGGCGGTTTCCCTTTTGGACATGAAAGGGGTGGAGGGTGCCTCGTTGTCGTTGTAGCATTGAGTAGAGGTAGGAGATGCTGTGGGGCATAGGATCCGGGTCCTGGCACAGTTGTTCGAATGGCGTGAGGTCCCTATGGATGTCAGGGCGTTGGGGTATAGCGGCAATGTAGTTCTTAATTTGGGTGTATCTTAAGCCCGTCATGAAGGTGTGATTGGAGATTGGATGTGCCCGTGAGTGTCTGTAGAAGCAGGATTTTCCCGTTAGTGGTTATGTCTCGGAGTACCCGTGAAAGGATGTTCATTTTGGCAATGGCCACCCTACCGAGCCAGGAAAAGTGGGGTGTGGCCCATTCTGTCAGATTCTTTCGTATAGCTCCCAGCAATGGGGTAAAATTTGTGTGGTATAGTTTGGACAGGTCGGCCGTGAGCCTCACTCCCAAGTCTGATCATTTCTTTGTCAGTGGGCAAACGTTCAAAATCAGCAGGGGGTCAAATACTATTTTCTCTCACTGTAAAAAGTTGTTTTTACATTATTATTTTATTTTTTTTTACAGATAATGAATATGTTTTTGCTGGTACATTTAAACTGTATACCACTTGCATTTTAGGCCTACTACACTGTGAGTGAATGGAATAGTAGGCTTTGTGTAAACTCTCAGTATTTTTTTCTAGAAAACATGGGATGCTCACATCTTTACATGGCTTGAGGGACAGTCTGTTAGCCAACATGGCCACCTACTTTAGGAGACAGTCTTCTCCCTTCACAATGCCCTGTGCAGCCTTCTCTCTTCTCATCCAAGCTCCCATAAGGTTGCCAGATATTCCATACCTACGCTATGGGCCATGAGGTGAGGAAACCTTTATATACCTAATATGGACCTTAATATGAAGGACACCACAAGAGGACCTGCATGTACATATTGTGAAAAGAATGTTATACAGTGTTATGGACCATAGTATGAGAGAGCACAATGCTCTTGTTAAAACTTTTGTGGAAAATAACCCTTTATTTTGAGGATCATAAATTCCTTCTTATGTTGAGGAAAGCTGAATAATTATGATATGGGCCTCAATGTCAGAGAAACATTATGGCCATGCTACAGACAACGCTCTGTAATGGCACCAAATGAGCTAAAATGAGCTTCAGATCTGAGTGGGGACCCACCGACGGGCAGGCTAATTGTCCGTTCTCACCTCTCTTGCTACTTGTTTTTATCTCCTTAAGTTTAAAGGGCAATCTAGACGTGGACCCCATGCTCATGGTGCCGAGAAGATATTGGCTATGCCTCACTGATGATACCTTACAAGGTTGAAATGATCGTCTGGGGCTCTCATGCAGAGGGAACTTGCTGACATTTCGGATCTGGACTGCCCATATGGGTAGGACCAGTCTCACATGCTTCAGATATGTTCTCTCTGTAATGGCACAAGATGAGCTAAAACCAGCTTGAGATCTGAGCAGGGACCCACTGAAGGGCAGGTTAATTGAGCTGTTGTCTGTTCTCACCTCTCTTGCAACTTTTTTTTCTCTCCTTATGCTACAGACAACAAACTAAGAACAGCTGTAGTATGAAGAGACCTCTCTGTATTTTGATTACGCAAATTACAGCTGTGCTCCCCTGCAGCAAAATGAAGGGTATTTAGAGTTGGGCTCATAGAGAATTTAAGGATAGAGGGGTTGAGTTTATGGAGTATTTATTGTTGCACGGAGTCTGGATCTATTAGGAATTTAAGCTTAGGAGAGCCAAAGGAGTAAGAGCGGGACTACAGCTTCTTGTAATTGTTCTGGTAAGTATAATAATTCCCTTCAGGCTTTTTGCAGTAAAATTGCTTACTAGGGATCGACCGATTATCGGTTTTACCGATATTATCGGCCGATATTCTGTATTTTTGGCAATATCGGTATCGGCCAATTCAGATACCGATATTGTCGATAATATATAACAGGACCGCCAGGCTCATTACAAGCCCGGCGGTCCTGGGGGGAGGGGGGGGCGGTAGCAAGCGTTTACTTACCTCCCAGCAGCTCCTCCAGCTCCCCAGTGTAAGTTTCGCGAGACCCACGGGTTACCACGGCAACGCTCCCCGCGGCACGCTGGCCGGGAGACTTACACTGGGGAGCTGGAGGAGCTGCTGGGAGGTAAGTAAACGCTTGCTGCCGGCCCCGCCACAGCTCAGCCAATGCCACTAGACCACCAGGGACTGCTATATCCCCCCTCCCAGGCCAGGTAACAAGCAGGGAGGGGGGACAACAAAAATAAATAGTAATAATAAAATATATTAAAAAAAATTATTTAATAAAAAATGCCCCCTCACACACACACTCCATTATATACACATACACTACACAAACACACTGTGTATATAATGCAGTGTGTTTGTGTAGTGTGTTTATATAATGCACACTACACAAAGACACTGCATTATATAAACACACTACACAAACACACTGCATTATATACACACTATACAAACACACTGCATTATATACCCACAGGGGTGTACCTAGAGCATTTGGCACCCGGGGCGGGTCCTATTTTTGGCACACACACCCCCCCCCCTCCGCCCCCCAACTTTAAAATGTAAAAAAAAAAACACAATTTAAAAAAATAAAATAAAATTATTTAGCAGTAAGCAGTGTTTATGCTTTTAAATGTAAGCATGTTTTTGTATGGAGTATGTTTGAGTGAATGTAGGATGTGTGTCTGTATGTGGTGTTGGCGTTTGAATGCAGGCATGCATTTTTATGTAGTGTGGTGTTTGAAGGCAGTGGTGTGGTTATATATAATGGTGGAGTTTGTATGTAGTGTTGACGTTGAAATGCAGGGGTGTATTTGTGTGTAGTGTTGGCGAGATTCTGAGATGTATGCACATATACACATACACACACCTAAATACACACTGACACACATGCAGATACATAGACACATAGGAACAATATATAGGGGGTGGGCACATAAGATACCACAATCCAAACTGGGGGGGCACTAAAACTTTTCACTAGGGGATGGGGTAATGTGCTGCCATTGGCTGCCTGATGCCAGCATGCAGTGCACATTGGCATCAGTCAACAAATTTGCATATAATTCACATTAGCCACCCTGATTTCTTGCTCGTGGGCTAGCTGACACCTCTTAACGTTGATCTTTGTTTATCAGATAACTCCCCTATTTGCTATCCTTATGTGGGATAGCAATATTTAAGGACACCAAATAAAGGAGCTATGTACCAAACACATACACATTTATACACACACACAATAACACAATAGGTGTATGTCTGTGTGTGTATATCTGTGATTGTGTGTGTGTGTGTGTGTGTGTGTATGTATATATATAGAGATATATATATACACACACACACACACACACACGTGTGTAAGTATGTGATGTTTGCTTGTGTATATCTAATTATGTGTGTTTGTAATTGTATGTGTGTGGGTCTGTGATTGTGTATGTCTGTGTTTATGTGTGTGGTTGTGTGTGTATCTCTGTAGTTAAGTGTGTGTGTGTAAAGGCAGACAGTCATACACAGTCCCAGGTAGACAATCACAGGCAGCATTCATACATACAGGCACAGGCAGACAGTCACACACACAGTCACCAAAACTCAGTCTCACGCACAGTCACAGGAAGATAGTCACACTCAGTCCCAGGTAAACTGTCACAGGCAGACATTCACAGACATAGACAGTCACAGTCAGACAGTCACAGATGCAGTCCCAGGTACACAGTCACAGGCAGACATTCACACACAGTCACAGACATTTACAGGGAGAGAGTCATAGACGCAGTCACAGGCAAACAAACACACAGTCACAGGCAGACAGTCACAGACACAGTCACAGGTAGACAGTCACAGGCAGACATTTACACACACAGGCACAGGCAGACAGTCACAGATGCAGTCACAGGTAGACAACCACAGGCAGACATTTACACACACAGTCACAGATAGTCACAGGCAGACATTTACACACACAGTCACAGATAGTCACAGGCAGACATTCACACACACAGTCACAGATAGTCACAGGCAGACATTCACACACACAGTCACAGATAGTCACAGGCAGACATTTACACACACAGTCACAGATAATCACAGGCAGACATTCACACACACAGTCACAGATAGTCACAGGCAGACATTCACACACACAGTCACAGATAGTCACAGGCAGACAGTCACAAGCAGTCACACACACACACACACACACACACACTCACACTCTCTCTCTCTCTTACTTACTGGTGGAAGAGTGGAGTCAGTGAGTCCCTGGTGAGTTGGAGTTGGGGAAGCAGGGACTCCTTCCTGTTTCCCCTCAGTGTGCTGCAGTGAAAGGCAGCAAATGGAGGCTGGTTGTAGCTCCGCCAGTTTGGCCCCGCCACCACGGGCGTGTTGGCTCCGCCCCCAATTCTCAGTGCAGTACTTCTGTACTGCGTGTGTGAGCTGTGTGGCTCCCTGTGCAGCCACACAGCTCACAGAGTCACAAGCCTGGCAAGCCCTGGGGGCACACCCTAACTGGTGGCACCCGGGGCGGACCGCCCACCGCCACCCCCTTAGTACACCACTGTATACCCACACTACACAAACACACTGCATTATATAAACACACTATACAAACACACTGCATTATATAAACACACTACACAAACAAACACACTGCATTATATATACACACTACACAAATGCACTGCATTATATAAACACACTACACAAACAAACACACTGCATTATATAAACACTACATAAACACACTGCATTATATACACAGTGTGTTTGTGTAGTGTGTTTATATAATGCAGTGTGTGTGTTTGTATAGTGTGTGTATGTAATGCAGTGTGTTTATATTATGCACACTACACAAACACACTGCATTATATACACACTATACAAACACACACACTGCATTATATAAACACACTACATTCACTATACACCCACTACACAAAAACACACACACACTCTGCATTCATTATATACACACACTACACAAACACACACACTTTGCATTTAGTATATACATCATTCACTTTACGCACACTACCCACACACTACACAAACACTCTGCTTTCATTATATACACACTACACTAATACACACTGCATCCACTACACACACTAAACAAATACACACTGCATCCACTACACACACAAAACTACACAAACACACACTGCATCCACTACACAAACACACACTGCATCCACTACACACACACTACACAAACACACACTGCATCCCCTACACACACTACACAAACACACACAGCTCCCCTGTCTAAACGCACTGCATCCACTACACGTGGCATGTATATTTTGTGCATTTACCTTTAGAAATAATTTTTATTTTCCAAAATGGTAAATGTACAGAATATCGGCAAATTATATCGGCTGTCGGCCTGAAAGTTCACAGAATATCGGTATCAGCTCTAAAAAATCAATATCGGTCGATCTCTATAATGCTTACATTACAGCCTAGGGATACCTCCACTGGTCCCTCCTCAGATGTCTGCTAGAGGTGTTTCCTGGGGCAGTGCTGCACAGTGTGACTGACATTCGGTTGCTCCACGATCTGCATGGAGTCACTGAACTTTCCTCATAGAGGAATAAATGTTTGTGTTCCTGACCCTATAATGTTCCTTTAAGGTTGAGTATTTTATCTGGCTTAAAATCATAGACACTTAAGGTTGAGTATTTAATCTGCAAATTACCCCTAACCCTTACTAACTGCTAACCTCCCCAAACCATAACCTCTCCCCAACCCTGAGTCATTGTTAACGACAATGTAATGACGCTGCATTTTACGAACATTTCATCATCACTGTCATGACATTAACATTTCAAACTCGCTGTTCTAAAATGCTTAAATATATAAAATTATTAACCTATTAATAAAAAATAACTATTTTTTAGGTTCCACAACCAAACAAAAAAAACCAAACACGACATTTGAAGAAAAAAAAAACCATTGTGTAATTTTTTTATTTTTTTTGGCCACCTTCTTTCATTGCAGACTACCAATAACGTCATTAAAATCACAGGAATTAATCTGTGCGCTGCCTTCTGTGAGAATCAGCAAATATCTGCAATACTCTGCAGTCCTCCGACATCCTGACTGCATTTTATGTTTGAGTATATGAGAAGTTTCAGCTTTTCTGTATGTCAACATATTACAGGTTCAGCCTTGAGCGTAGTCACTCCCGTAGGATGAAAGCAAGAGGACCGAGGCAGGCAGCAACACTCTGAACCGACAACAAATGGTACAAACATTTCACCAACACAATGTATAGATTCTGTTTGTATCCTTATTTTAGCACCTGTGATGTTTAGGCATTGTTCTGTCAATCAATGTGGGAGTACCACCAAGAATTTACACCTCAAAGTGCACAATGGGGAGAGAAATGTAATGTAAATATAAACTTTAATCTAGATATATGCTGATGGCTTTGTATAATTATAATTATTTTAACTGCCCCTAAAGATAGAATGTGTTCTATTCCCTGTACCTTTTCATCGTTATCAGACCACATTTCCCTCCACTCTTCATCCCCAGACCTTTTTCCTCCCGTGTGTGCCGATTTACACATGGCACTGAGGTCGCCGAAAAAGGGACACAATAGACACCAAAATAACTTTAGGTTAATAAGCAGTGTTGGTGTATAGATTATGCCCCTGTGTTCTTACTGATCAATTCTCTGCCATTTAAGAGTTAAATCCCTTTGTTTATGCAGCCCTAAGCACACCTCCCTGCATGTGACTTACACAGCCTTCCTGAAACATAACCTTGATATTTTAGGTTCCTGTATTGCAGTCAGTTTAATCTAGAATTTCTTTATCTCGTGCTCTGTTAAAAGCCTTTTAGAACCTGCAGGAGTCTCATGTGTGATTAAAGTTCAGTTACAGAGCAGGAGATAAAAGCAAATTGCCTTTGCAGCAAATTAAGGTCTTATTGAAAATGAAACCATTTTTTTCAACGTAGGCTGTGTCAGTCACAGCCAGGGGAGAGTAATTTATCTCCTAAATGGTAGAGAATTGTGGGAGACTGCAGGGACATGATCTATACACCAAAACTGCTTCATTAATCTAAAGTTGTTTTGACGCCTACAGTATCACTTTAAATGTGTTTACACCTTTATATGCCTAGATAATAGGACTCAGATCCCAATGCAATGATTTGGTCTCCTTGGTATGTTTTCCAGAGAATAGAAACATAGAATGTGACGGCAGATAAGAACCATTCGGCCCATCTAGTCTGCCCAATTTTCTAAATACTTTCATTAGTCCCTGGCCTTATCTTATAGTTAGGATAGCCTTATGCCTATCCCACGCATGATTTAACTCCTTTACTGTTTTTTGGGTTTTTTAAAAAAATATATTTTTTTTTTATTGTTTGTTTCAGTACTTGTGTTACAGTGTTTTTGAAACGGAATATATACCAGATAAACATTGTAAACTTTCTACCATGGTAGAATTTAACCAGGTTTCACAGAGAATGCAGCATACAAAGTCACATACAAAGGGAGTAGGGACATTGTATGGCAGCAGATGTTATATCGCTATAATCTGGTGAGTATATAGTCATTCCAGATCTGGCTATTTTGGATTCCATGTGTGACTACAGGGGGAAAAAAAAAAGGGAGAAAATAACCGGTATTGGGAGGGAGAGGGAATGTGAGTAGGGGAGGGGTTCGGGATGCTGCATCACCATTTAGAGTGCTGTCTCAGAACACTGTCTTAACTCACAGTCTTAGTTTGCACAGGCTCGGCTCAGCTGCCACGTCCACCTTCGTGAAATTAAGGGAGTTGTGTGTGATACTCAGTCCCGCACTTCCCTGACTCCGGGGGCGGGGTGGCTAATGGACCTAAGAATATGTTGTGTCCTGGTTCAGCTGACCCGACCATTTTGACCATATTTGGTTATAACGTGTTAAGGTGTCCTTGATTGTGTGTGCTAATTTCTCGAGTTGCTGCGTTTGGTTCACCCTGCTAACTACCTGTTTTATTCCCGGTGCAGTAGTTGATTTCCAGAGGGAGGCTATGCAATGTTTGACCGCTAGTGTGATGTGGGTGGTTAGCACTGCCTCAGAGTGCGAGAGTGTTGTGGGCAGCATGTGTAGTAACTAGGTCTCCGGAGTGAGCAGGAGCACCTTTCCGTAGACTTGTTTCTATCAGCGATTGTACTTGGCTCCAGAAGGTGGTTAGTACAGGACATTGCCAGAATATGTGGCACATAGAACCCACCTGCCTGCAGCAGCGCCAACATGTCTGCTGTGCACCTGGGTATATAAGGGCCAATCGCTGAGGGGTGAGATACCATCTTATCCAGAGTTTATAGGCAGCTTCCACATGGTCTAGGCAGTGTGTGGCCTTCT